TGTAGACACAAGAGAACAAGGTCTTATTTTGGGGGGAAGCAAAGGAAAGGAAAGCGGGTAACTTAACTTGAGTGATTGGTTTGTTATGTGAATGAAGTTTATTTTGCTAGTAGGTTTATGTGGCTTTTTTATAAGTCCTCTAAATTAGCCCAGTGATTCAGGGACGATTATTATTCTCACTTTAAAAACAACAAGGCAATTGAGAAGTTGAGATACTTGCCTCAGATTGCACAGCTGGTCAGGCAGATGCAGGTCTACCGGACCTGAAAGTTCCAGTCGTCGCCCATTCTGCCTCTCCAAAGCAGAAAGCTGAAGTTCTGCTGTTTTTCAGATACCTTTCTTAGGTATCAGACACATCGCGTCTCACTGTCGTAACTGCTGGACTAGCCAAACAGCCAAGGAGCCACTGTCATAGGAGTAAAGTGGAGGGAATTATTCTGAGGAAGCAGAGAATGTGCTCTCCCTCTCAAATCCAGCATAAGCATTGCACAACCAAATAGGGCACAGACAAATGTCTGCTGGGTCACAGCTTGGTGCATCGATCGTGCAATTGATTGTTCCCTGTGGGGAGTTCGGAGAATGAAAATCTCCTGTGGGAAGTTGGGGGAAGAGCAAGAGCCATGAAACACATTAGTTAAGCACTCAGGCTCTGGGGTCCTAGGCTTGGGCTTCTATCCTGCCCTCCTGCTTAGTAAGAGACTTGGCCTCTCTGAACCTCAATTTCTTCACATGCAAGGTGGGGCAATGATACTTTGCAGGATCGTGGGATTTTAAATTGGCTCTGGCCCATTGAGTGCCCGAGGTATAAGAAGTGTTCAAAAATGTTAATTGTCCTTTCTTTTGGTTTTGTTCCCTGCCTCTCTCTTTGAAACTCACAATCTAAAATTCTATTTTATACAATATATTAACATAAAAAGAAAGGGGATATAAAAGCTGCTGGCACAAGCTTGCCTTTGTGCAAATATGTGGGCACCAGCATCTTGTTGGATTCTGTTTGACACACGTCAGGTGTCCAGGGAGAAGCTTTGGAATATGAGGACACTGTAGCTTTGAACATGGCCGAGAAAAAAGACCAAGCCAAGTGAGGTCCTGCGACTTTCACCCCAAGTGATATAGATGGAATGACAAGAATGAGGGCAGGTTTTACTTGGTGTCTTTCTTTCCCTGATGGCTCTTATGTGGTTTCCTTGGAAGGGTTACCCTGGAATTTTTTCAGAAATAGCACAGTTGTTTGGGATGATTACAGGCAATCACCATTTCTCAGAGATGAAACTGTGTTTAGCTCACAGACCAGCTACTCCCCAGGACCCATCTGGGGGGGATGCACAGCGGGTCTCTTGTTTTTCACATATCTGATCTTGAGAGATTTGAGGACAACTGACCTCAGGGCAGCCATTTAGGATGAAGAGTGAGTTTTGATGGTGAAATGTGAAATCCATTCCTACTGAAGAACAAACCTGACGGTCAGTTTACCTGACAGGCTGTTAAAACACAATGCCTCTTAAAATCCTTGTTTAAAGTCAATGAATATTAAGAGATCAAAGGATATAATGTAAGGTTAGAGGAGAACACTTTCTTGGGTATCTTGAAGCTGTACTGTCCGATAATGGGGCCAGAGCCATGTGTGCCCACTGAGCACTTGAAATGTGGCGAGTCCAAATTGAGATGTGTTGTATAATACACGATTTCAAGGACTTAGCAAAAAAGTAATGTAGCTCATTAATTTTTTTATGTTGATTACACATTGAACGGATATTTTAGATATGATGAGGCAAACAAAATATGTTCTTAAAATTAATTTCATTGTTTCTTTTTTTTGCTTTCTTTTAATGTGCTACTAGAAAACTTTAAGTTACGCGTATGGTTCACATTCTGCTATTATTAGGCAACACTGCTTTAGAACTCGCACACAGAACTTTTATCCCTACTCACAACTCTGGTTAATACTTACCTCCACTTTATACCCTGGTTATGATGATCCCAGACTAGTAACAACCATTACATATCCAAAACTTTGCTACCCTGGGACTTTTGCTCTTGTTGTGAACTTTACATAGGGTACTTACCACCACCCTCCCCACCAGACTTCATGTCTGGATCGTTTTTCAACTGTTTGATCTTTTCTCAAATGTCCTCTCTCCAGACAGGCCTCCCCTGTCCACAAGTTGGTCACCTCAACCTATTCCATTCTCTTTATAGCACTTGTTTCATTGCCTGCTTTCTCAACAAGACTGGGAGCTCCTTTACATAGTCTACCAAGTTCATCTATTTCCTGCTCTCAGAACAGCACCTAGTTTGTAGCTGGCTCCCCAGTAAATATTTCCTGAGTAGATAAATGCATTAGCCTTATACCTGACTGAGATTGTTTAAATTGTGTTTCAAAGTGGTGCCCTTTGTTCATATCATTCTGACTGAGCATCTGTTGTAGGCTTGTCACTATGCCTTAAAGATTCGGTGATAGATGTCCTGGTTTCTCTCTCAGGGAACACAGGATTTAGTGGGTTCCAAGGACAAACATGTCTGCAAACAGAGTTGTCATATTACTGCCATGAGCTTTTTGTTGCATTTCATTATATATACTACTAAGGAAACAATGCAATAAAGGTCAAAAAACAAGATAACCTCAAAACTCAGCCTCCCTGTTTACCCATAGCAACAGAAGGTTGTTGAAAAGGTAACTCCCTTGTGCTCTTCTGTTTTTGAAAAACAGATTAACCATCGCCAACAACTATGATTATGGGCAGGACCAAGACATGTATTTGTAGCTGTGGAAGACTCTAAATGAGAAGATATTTTAAGCCCAAAGGACACATGTTTTCAGAGGTTTTTAAGGGAAAACTGACCTTTTAATACATCCTTGGGTTACAAAAGCAAGCTGTAGACCACTATGTGAATCAGATGCTTGTTTTTGTTTGTATATATCCTATAAATGTGTGTGGGAAAGACAAATGCATTCCAAATGGTTAAACTTGGGTACCTCAAGGTTGTGGAGAAGAGTGGAATAATATGAGACTATAAATACTTTCTTAACATACTTCCATACTATTTTACACAGATAAGTTTTATACTTGAAGAATTAAGTATTTTTTTAGAAAGAAAATTTAAAAAGAAGCACCACAAAGCCTCCTTGTATTTGACAGAGGATACTTTTCACCTCTTGACTTTTTTTTTTTAATCTCACTTCTGTGCCTTAGCTGCTAAAGCAAAGGCCAGTAAACAGGCTGGGTATCAAAAATTAGGAAGTACAGACTGAGCTCTCTTCTGGAGAATTTTACGATGTCATGACTCTCTTACCATAGTTAGGATTTCCTTAACCTCTTTAGTTGGGAGAGTACCCTTTATCGAGGGCATCTATTATAAGCCAAACAATTTGTTTACATACACCCATTTTATTCCCCAAATAATCTTTACAAGGTAGGCATTACTATCCTCACTTAGTGGATGTAAAAATTGAAGTACAGGAAGGTGAGATGTGTTGTCCAAGGTCACATTGCTAGTTAGAGGCTGAGCCAACTTTGCAGAGAAGAACTATAAAAACAACTAGAAAACAAGTAACAAGATGGCAATAAGTACATACCTATCAATAATAACTTAAATATAAATTGTCTAAATGCTCCAATCAAGACATAGGGGGACAGAATGGATAAAAAAATAAAACTCATCTGTATGCTGCCTACAACACTCACTTCAAAACCAAAGACACATAAAGACTGAAGGTGAAGGAATGAAAAAAGATATTCTATGCAAATGGACATGCACATACACAAAATTCCAGGGTAGCAATACTTACATTAGTCAAAATAAGACTTTAAAACAAAAATGGTAACAAGAGACAAAGCCGGACATTACACAATGATAAAGGAACCAACAATGAGCGAATATAACAATTGTAAATATCTATGTATTCAACATTGGAGCACCTAAATACATAAAGCAGTTGTTAATAGACATAAAGAGAGAAATTGACAGTAATACAATAATAGTCGGGGACTTTAGCATCCGACTTACATCAATGGATAGATCATCCAGACAGAAAATAAAGAAGAAAACAGAACTTAACTTTGAACCTAGCCCTTTCCAACTTTTTCCCAATTCACCACCATTTTTTACCTTTTTCTAAAAGATAAGGTATAACAAAGTATTTTGCAACAGTTCCATATCTGAATTAAATTCTATTCTCAATGGAAGCCTAATTCCAGGCACTTGAGAAAAGCTTCTGCTCCACAAAAACTTTTCCCTAACTAGCCTTCCTTGGAGCCTGATAGTTCACAATAGAATCTGTCCCATTGGGTAACATCCCCTGGAATCCATTTTCCAAGTACAAGGACCCTTAGAATTGAGTAACATGTTTATAGCATCATTATAAGTCATGACTGTTGCATGACCTTAATGTAAATTAATTACCAAGGAAAGAAATCTAGCAAACTTCCAAGGAAATGAGACATGGGACCAGATGTTGGGGCTGTGAAGAAGAGGTAGTTATAGAGCAGAGTCAGAAATGTCCTACAGAAGTGTCATTGTGGGATTGTGAATAAATAAAAGGGACCTGAAGAATCCATACGTAGAAAAGAAAGGTGCCACTGAAAGTATACATCACCATGCAGGACATGCCTGAATTCAACTACTGTGCTAATAAGGCACAAAACAGAGAAAACAGGCACGTGTATAGTTGGTTTCCTATACTGCACTACCCACCCCAGCTACAAGTTCTACAAATGCTGCTGTTTGTCACAAGGTCACTGAGATATAAGGTGCCTTTGCTCAATGAGTTAAAATCAGTGACCCCATTAGAGACAATTAACAGGGCAGTTTCTCCCAGGAGTTGGCTCAGAGTGTCTCTCTTAGGCACTAAGGGCCAAGAAGTAACTTCTGGATACATGGGGGATTAGTTTACAAAGCTAACGGATCTTATCTATAGAGTAGTGGATTTCTACAACCAACCTGGACAAAAATATGGTCTTCTCTCTTCTTTAAATGGAATGTGCTTTTTTTCCCCACAGAAAAAGCGCACATTGAAGGGCTCCATTGAACTCTCCCGAATCAAATGTGTTGAGATTGTGAAAAGTGACATTAGTATCCCATGCCACTATAAATATCCATTTCAGGTAAGTCCACTATGCCTGAGATTGCTAGTTTCCCATTCCTTGCATGATGGTTGAAAGTCTCAGTCATTGTAATAGAAGGTAGACCAGGGATGACTCTGATCTATAGTTAGGTCTTAGACTAAGCCAGAAGAAAGCTACTGTGTTCCTTCAATTATTGATTCACTCATCCCTCAAATCACAAAATTTTGAAAAGGTGTAATTCCTCATTTCTCTTTCTCTCATGTCTTCCCTGCCTCAACAGAAGTCCCAATTCTCTGCCCCTAGAGCAAAGAAAAAAACTGTCAAAGGCCCCAAGCCTAATACTCTTAAGTGCCATTTACTTATGATTTGGGTCAACAGATTGCAGTACTCGAATATAATTGTTTGGAGGTTCTGGGACAAAAAGACTCAGATTTTACAATCTGAGAACTGTCTGGAGTTGTATTGTCCAATACGGTAGCCACTAGCTACAGGTGTATGTTTAATATTTAGATGTAAATTAAATTAACCAATATTGAAAATTCAGTTCCTGAGTCACACTAAGCCCACTGAACGGATGAACATTTCACATGTTCAATAGCTATGTGCTGGACAGCACAGATTATAGAATGTTTTCATCATTGCAAGAAGTTCTACTGGACAGAGTTGGTAAAGGTTATCTCTGGTCTTTAGGTCATGACATTGTCCAAATTTTGGCATCACTCTTGGCATCTGTGACTCTGAAGGAGTGGATATCTCTTTGTACATTCTAGGGTACGGTTCCTCTTTGCCAATTTCAGGGGTAAATATCGCATTTTTAATGTGATATAGAAAAGGATTCTTTTCCTACTAGAAAGTTGACCTCTGTGAATTGAAATATTTAGTAATTGAAGTGAATAACATGTATTTTCCCGTCATTAAAATTCCAATTAAAAATGAGTTCATGAGAAAAAGCTGGTGAATTTCAAAGAAGATCTATAGTTCAGTTAATCATTTTGGACCAATGTCAACTTCCTGATTTGGAAACTGTGCTATGGTTCTATAATCATTAGGAAGAGGTGGGTGAAAAGAACACAGGGATCCTGTACTATTTTTGGAACTTCTTGGGTGTCTTATATTATTTCAAAATAAGAAGCTTTTAAAGTCTCAATTGTAATTTTTTTCATCTAATATCTTACCCTTTCATATGACAGAAAGATTTTGTTAATCACTTAAAAATTAATATGAGAGGGGCTCCCGGGTGGCTGAGTCTGTTAAGCGTCTGACATCGGCTCAGATCATGATCTCACAGTTTGTGGTTTCCAGTCCTGTGTTGGGCTCTGAGCTGACAGCTTGGAGCCTGGGGCCTGCTTCAGACTCTGTGTCTCCTTCTCGTTCTCTGTCTCTGCCTGTTCCCTTCTTGTGTTCTCTCTCTTTCTCAAAAATAAATCAATAAACATTTTTTTTAAATTAGTATGAGAAATAAATATGCTGTCACATGGAGAGCTTTTTCTCCAGCTATTTTAATTTTTTTTTTAATTTTTTTTCCAACGTTTATTTATTTTTGGGACAGAGAGAGACAGAGCATGAACGGGGGAGGGGCAGAGAAAGAGGGAGACACAGAATCGGAAACAGGCTCCAGGCTCTGAGCCATCAGCCCAGAGCCTGACGCAGGGCTCGAACTCCCGGACCGCGAGATCGTGACCTGGCTGAAGTCGGACGCTTAACCGACTGCGCCACCCAGGCGCCACTCCAGCTATTTTAATTTAGCAATTGCTTACCGGCAACATGGAATCTCAGACAAGTAGTCTGAACTGTGGAGTTTCACCCTGTGTGAATTCAAATATTTGGATAAAAAGGACACCAGTCCCCTAATTGCCCAGATGTTTGCCTTTATGATGACAAACACCTGAGGGCCCACTCTTGACCCAGTAAGCTAGATGGGCCTGCTATCAATCATCCTGCTCTCTGGGCGCACTGCTCATCTTGGACTCTGTGTACCTCCAGGTTGTGCATGACAATTACCTCCTGTATGTGTTTGCTCCAGACCGTGAGAGCCGGCAGCGCTGGGTTCTGGCCCTTAAAGAAGGTAATAACTCTCCTATGTAAATCGGTCCCTGAGATCCCTTGATCCTCTAGCAGGCTTGGACTCCGTAGTAAGATCAAGGACAGCTGACAGTCAAATATTTCTCACTTTTGGTGTTGGTGTTGGATCCCAACTTTTCACCCTGGGCCCAAGAGGCAACAATCAGTACCATGTAGGGTCGAACAAATCCAGTCTACCACCTGTTTTTATAAAGCTCCAAGCTAAGGATGGTTTTTGTATTTTTAAATGGTCATATTTTAAAGGATTATAGAAGTGCCTCCATAATATATCGATTTTGCCTGCTGCTGAACAAAACCTAAAATATTGACCATCTGGCCCTTTAAGAAAAACTTTGCCAACTCCTGGTCTAGTGGGACTAATAAGAGGATGGGCCCTTGAGTTAGATGACCTGAGTTTGAATCCTGGCTCTGCCACTTACTAGCCATGTGTGCGTAGGCAACTGCCTCAGCTGCTCTGTGCTTCAGTTTCCCCGTCTATAAAAAAGGAAAGGAGGAGGGAATGATAATAATAGTACCTGCCTCCAGAACTGCTGTGAGTAAAGCCCTCGGAACTAGCCTGGCCCATCGTTGGCACCCCGTAAATGTTAGCTAACTTTAAAAGCTTTCAGATCATCAGGAACGGTATTTCTTAAGGCTCACCTTGTTGACAGCATAATTAGAACCAGCACAGCGTTTAGGTATACGTGACATGTGCAGCCAGTCTGCTAAGGTGAAAATCCCAGCTCTGCCAATTATTAGTATGTGACCTTGGGCAAGTTCCCTGACCTTCCAGTGTCTTCATTTCTACATCTGCAAATTCTGACTTGTAATAATCAGACACAGGGTTATTGTGAGAAATAAATGAGTTAAGACACGGCAGACACTTAGAATGAAACACAAAGAAAGAACTCAATTAGTAGTCCTGTTACTTAGCCTGAAGCCCTGGGTTTGCAGGAGAAGTGGGTTCAGATATTAATCTGTCTCTAAGTAGCTATTAGGACTAAGAATAAGCAAGCCATTTGGAATCTTGAGAGCCGTGATGCCTCTATCTGAAAATGAGAATAAAAATACAATTCTTATCTTCTTCCAAGGTTGTTGTCTCAAATAGGATATGAACAGACAAGCGCTGAGTAAGCTGGAGAATATTCTCAAGTCATGAGGCTCAGAATAAACACTGAGTAAAAAGTTATCAAAAGGACCCCAACTATGTTCATTGGCCATTCTCCCTCTGCGTAGGGGTTTACTCACAGGATATTAAAGCTGGAAGGAGCATTTGAGATGGTCTATCGAGTTCTCCACTTTTTATATTTCTTTTTTCTTTCAGTAGGAGAACCTCTTTTTTTTTTTTTTTT